GTGAGCGAGCATGAGCAGGGAAAAGACAGAGAGAGAATCCCAAGCAGGCTCCACACTCAGCAGACTGATACAAAGCTCAAACTCACCAACCATGAGATCATGACTTGAGCTAAAATCAAGAGTCAGATGCTTAACTAACTAAGCCACCCAGGTGCCCCAAGATATACTTTTTATGTAAATAATGCTGGGTTAATATGGAAAAAATAAAACTTAATCTTACCTCACACAACACACACAAAAATCAATCTCACATGACTGTAGATCTAAAGGTATATATATTAAAGGAAAAAACAACTTGCAGAAGAAATTATAGAATGTCATCCTGCCTTCCGGGTAGGCAAATATTTCTTACACGGGAACAGAAGAGTGCTGTCCATAAAGATTCAAGGACATTAAAATTAACTCATCTCATGAAAATATACCTATTAGAACACTGGAGACATGCACCGGAGTGGGAGAAGGTACGTACAAAACTCATCCAGAGTTTTGTGGAATATATACGTGGAAAATATAAATCCCAGGAAGAAAAAGGCAGGCAACTTTAGCATCGTATCCAATGTCATAAAATAGCTTGTTGCAAAACAAAGTTGCACAACCACTTTGGAAAATTCGCATCATGTACAAAGAATAAACATATGCACCCCACTCGACCCATAAATTTCAGTCCAGGGCACAGACCCAAGAGAAATACACGCACCTGTGCACCATCAGAAACGTTAAAGTGTGTCCATAGCAGCATTATTCACAAGAGCCCCAAACTGAAACGTGAAATGTAAACCGACACAAAGTACTTAAATAACTGTGGAATATGCAAACAGAACACACACAAAAACGTACTTAGAGATACTCTAAATAATAAGGGTCAATTTAACAGAAATACTGGGCAAAATCAGACAGACACAAAAGAACACACCCTGTTCGGTTCCATTTGTACAGAGTTTGAAAACAAAGAACCCAAGCCACGCCGTCAGTCAGAACACCGGTTACCTGTGGAGAGTAGGGACGGGTTTGCCACCTGCATAGGCAAGAAAGGGTATCAGCTACCCTGGTAGTGTTTTTTCTTGTCTGGTGATTACATGGATTTGCTCGGTGTAATAACGCAGCTGTACATGTGTGGATTAAGAACTTCTGTGCGCTTCAGTAGACCGTTTCAAGTGTTACCACATGCACACATCCCAGTCCTTACACAACCACCGCAGAAATGACTTTGGTGTTCATACCGGTAAGCTGAACACGCACAGACCTCACAACCCAGCAATTCACGCTCCTGGAATAACCCACCGACGCTCCAGAAAGCGCGGACCCAACTTCTTAAAGCAGCATTGTTCACAACTCGGAAGAATGGGAATTGCAAACTGTATACCAGCAACAGAAAAGGTACGCTGCAGGGGGATACAAAAGGCCACTGTCTGGAAATGAAAATCGCCACTACGTTCATCAATGGGATCCTCGAGCCTCCCCCGCTACTACTCAGCTGGCCACCACTGAATCTACCCTGAATTCTGCAAGAGCTTTCTAATGGCCCTGTTTGTGCCCTTGTCCTTTCTTAACCTGTCAACCCAGAAGCCAGCGATTCAGAAATTAGTTGCCAACCCCTCTGTTCAAAACCCTCCACTGACTTCCCACGACACGGGAGAATACAAGGCAAAGTCCTTCCAGGAAATCCACAGGGTGCCCCCGTGACCGGCACCCTGACCCAGCTCTAGCCTCATCGTCTTGGGACTCCCAGGCTTGCTCCACTGGCCCCTGTGCTACTGCATGTGTCCCAAGCAGTTGTTTTTTTTTTTTTTTTTTTTCATGGCCTTTGAACTGCCAAGGGTGCTCCACCCCAGATTACAACATGGTGCTGTCAGTTTACATCTCTGCTCAAATGCCCCCTAAGGTGAAGGCTTTCCCCACCCACCCAACAGCTCTGAACCCCCACATTCTGTCTCATCATCACCATGCTTAGCTTCTCCTCCACTGCATTAACCACCTTGCAGTATACAATGTATTTACAGACTCATTTGTTTATGGGGTGCCTTACCCTAAGCAGAAAGAAAGCACCATGAAGGCAAAAATCCCAATTGGCTGCTACAGATGTGGGGCACAGACAGAACAGGGCCCGACACAGAAGCACTACTACCTGTTTGTGGGTTGAACTCAGACAAGCAACCTAATCTTGCTTGCCTTAGATTCTCCTTATGCAAAAGGGAGATCGTGATGGTATCTGCTTCTTGGGGCTTCTGTAAAGACTGAGACACTTCAAGTCAAGAAAATAAATACTTAAGCGTATCGGAGACTTGAAACACAATTTTAAAACATGGATTAAAGATGTAAAAAAAAAAAACAAAAATCAAACTCATATTCAACAATTAAAAGTATAAGCAGATTATATCCACACACAGCAGCTATAAAACCTTACCAATGACTCGATGCACGTATTACAGGTCGCATCCACTTGGGATTAACAGAACCCTCCCCCACCAATAAAAAATTATTAAATTCATAAACAATGAAATATCCAAAGCAGCTTAAGCCAATAACCAGTTTTATTTATATTTTTCTCATGTAATAGGAAGTCTGGAAATAATATATCCACGGCTAGTGTAGACAAAGAAGTGACTGGAGGGGCCAGGATCATTGTGCCTTTTCTGCAGGATCCTCTTTAGCCTGTGGCTTGCAGCCTCATGGTCACAAGACATATCTTTGAACACTAGGTACTTGGTCTCCTTGCAAGGTGAGAAGTAGGGAAAAGAGCAAAAACAAAATCTGTAGAAGAATGCAGGTAAGAAAAATCCCTTTTCAAGAGCTCTCTTGTCAACAGCCCATACAGTGACATCTGCTTATCAGTCAATGGCCAGGCTGTGACATAAAGACTGTAATAGTTGTGGAAAACTCGTTAAGAGACTTCTAAAACTAGAGTATCTTAGTAATCTGACAAAACTTGGATTTTCTTGATGTGAAAGATGAGACACCGGGAGAGCAACGAGAAGTGTATGTCACTCCTGCAGGGACAGGAGGCCCAGAACATTCCAGAGGATCCATCTGATGAAGACATCATGCCCTGATAGCAACGCATCTGACTTAGACACTCGTAACAAACAGGTACTAAAAACACCCACATGTTACATAGCATTTAACACAATGCCAAACAGTCCACTGGTCAAGGGAGTTATCCAAAAGGAAATGAACACATATCAAGGATGGAATTATAATAATACTATATACAAACCTGTAATGAAGCCCAAGTGTTAGAGGAGCATGATCTTAAGAATAAAGACTACAAATTAATGAGTGAGGGTCTGTTTTCGTGATGAAAGACTGACAAATGCAATTTCATGATTCACTAGAAAATTCCATCAGGGTATGAATTCTCATGAGCACAAGTGAGGGGGCTGCGGCTAAAATCATCGCCACACGCGGGCCGTCCGCGGTGTGGGTTCTCATGTTTCCTGAAAGAATTCCATTGGCTAGGCTTTTTGAAGTTTTAAACAGAAATGTCTCCTAGTGTGAGTACATCTCATAAAAACTGAGCGATTGTTGTAGGCCATGGTTTCTCAACCTCAGCAATACTGACATTTGGGGCCACATAATTCTCTCCTGCAGGGGCTCCCGGGCATTATGTGCCAGTAGCACCCCACCCCCCGCCCAGTTTTCACAATCAAAAATGTCTCCAGATAAGCAAAATCACCACCAGGTTAGAACTGTTCCTGTAGACCAAGGGCTGGCTGGGTTTTTCTGTAAAGGGCCAGAAAGTAGGTGTTTTAGGCTCTGTGAGTCACATGTGGTGTTTGCCACATGTTTTTCTTCTTTAAAAATGTAATCAACTATTCTTAGTTTGCAAGCCATACAAAAATAGACAGTCGGCCAGTTTGCTGACCTCTCTTATAGACTTTCCCACATTCCTATTTTATAGGTTTTTCTCTTTAGTATGATTTTGTTCATCAAGAATACGGTGTGAGACCATTAAGTCCCTGGTGCTCTCGCTCGTATGCCCAGAAGGTGCTGGTGGTGCTAAGGTCATTCTGACATTAAATACCAAGCTACGGTCTCTCTCCCTAAGTTCTCATTTTTTAAGAGCTGAATGCGCACCTGACTCCTGCATACCACGGGTATAGTTTTGCCCCCTAGCACGAGTTCTCGCGAATGCCCACAGTGATGAGGAAAAACAAGTCTTTCCCAGCCATGACACCAACTGGGCCCCGTCTGAGCTCTCGTGTTTCCCTGAAGGCAGACGCATCACTGGAGCCTTTTCCACACAGAAGACACGAAGAGCTTCTCTCCCCGGTGAGTTTTCACATGACTGCGAAGCGATGAGTGGTCGCTGAAGGCCTTCCCGCAGGCCAGGCACTCGTAGGGCTTCTCCCCGGTGTGTATCCTCCTGTGCACATTCAGGTTTGAGCCTATACTGAAGGCTTTCCCACAGTGATCGCACTCGTACGGCTTCTCTCCTGTGTGACTTCTCATGTGTGTCTTGAGGGTGGACTGGTTTCTGAAGGCTTTCCCACACTGCCTGCACTCAACACGTTTCTTTACGAGATGAGTACTCATGTGCCTCCTCCGGGACAAGTAATCCCCAAACACTTTCCCGCACACGGCACATTCATAGCGTCTCTCCTGAGTGTGTATTTTCCTGTGTGTGGTCAGGTTTGAGCTCGCACTGAAGGCTTTCCCACACAGATCACACCCATACGGCTTCTCTCCGGTGTGGGAATTCATGTGCGTCTTCAGGATGGACTGGTTTCTGAACGCCTTCCCACACTGTCTACATTCGATGGGTTTCTTCACAATATGAATTCTCATGTGCTTCCTCCGTGACAAGAGATCGCCGAAGGATTTCCCACATTCTTTACACTCATACGTTTTCTCTACCATGTGGTTCTTCTTGTGCAAGTTGAAGTTCGACTTCCATCGGAAGGCTTTCCCACACTGTGTGCATTCGTAGGGTTTCTCTCCAGTGTGATTTCGGACGTGCTCTTTGAGGTGTGAGGGATGCTGGAAGGCTTTCCCACAGTCATGACATTCATACGGTCGCTCTCCAGTGTGTGTCCGTTTGTGTGCAATGAGGTGGCAGCTCCTGCCGTACGCCTTCCCACACTCATCACACTTGTAAGGTCTCTCTCCGGTGTGAACTCTCATGTGTATCTTCAGGGAGGAGAGGGTTCGGAAGGCGTTTCCACACTGACTGCAGTCAAAGGGCTTCTCCGTGAGGTGAGTTCGTGCATGACTCCGAAGGGCAGAGGGGTCATTGAAGGCTTTCCCGCAGGCGCTGCACTCGTAGGGCTTCTCCCCAGTGTGGATCCTCCTGTGCCGCGTGAGGGAAGCACTCGTCGTGAAGGCTTTTTGGCACTGGTGGCATTCGTGCATTTTTCTCCCATTGTAAATGCTCACGTGTTGGGTTAGAGGTGACCTGTTCTTAAAGGCCGCCCCACAGTCCCGCCGGTGATAGGGCCTCTTGCCAGGGTGCCTTCCCATTTGCTGGGTAAGGTGGGTGCCCATGCTGAAGACTTCAAACAGGTGAGTGTACTCGGCGGGTTTCTCCCCAAGACGTGTTCTTTCCTGCTGATTGAGAGAGGAGTGACTAGGGCGTTTCCCACAGCTCCCCACGCCCCTAAGAGCCATCCAGTCCTCCCCATGTACACTCACAGGAGTAGAAACAGGCCCTATGACCAATGACGCTGTGACTGGAATGCAACAGTACTGTTCACGTCCCACTTGGGGTCTAGCAAATGAAACGGTGGAGGCTACGCCCTGAGGCTCCACATGAGTAACGTTCACAAAGCTTTTACTGTTTACTGCTTAAACCTGAATTGAACCCCAACGCTCATTATCTGAGGCTAGGTTTAGGGTTTTCCCCCAAAGCTGTGGGAAACAGTGTCTGAAACAGGTGCCTCTCAGGGAATACCACTCGCTGGTTCCTGAGCTGCTTTTCTAACAGGCTGCCCCAGCCTTCTCCCGTCCAGAAAACCAGGGATCATCCCAAGGAAACCTTACCACTGTCACACCACGGGGTGTTTCCTTGCCAAAAATGTCTTCCATGAGAATGGACCATTTGCTTTTAGATGGAGTCTCCCAATCTGCAACAAATTGGAAAAATATTAACCTGAGGAAAGAAATGTTGGCTGGAGAAAGGAAACAGTGAGATGACAGCTGATGAAAACAGGGGGATTTCTTTGCAAAACTAACCTTAAAGAAGGAAAAGCAATGTTGAAAGGAAGAACACACATGGGGATAAAAAATGCCTGTGCAATGTGGCTCTGTGAGATACCTGGTGATGGCGGAGGAGACACTTAACTAGATTCACTAAGGAATAACTCTTCAAAGAGTAACACGGATAACAACAGAAGGGTACAACCAGGGGTGCAGAGTATGAAAGAATGGGACAAAGCTCACGTGGACAGGTCAAATTTACACACGAAGCCCAGCAATTCTGCTCCTGGGGATTTACCCAAAGAAAGCAAAAACACTACCTTGAAAAGATATCCACACCCCCACGTTCACAGCAGCATTATTTACAATAGCCGAGGTATGGAATCAATCTAAGTGTCTTTTGACAGATGAATAAAGAAAATGTGGCATATACACACAATAGATTATTATTCAGCCGTAAAAAAATAAAAAGAAGGAAATCTTCCCACTCAACCACACAGATGGGTCTTGAGGGCATAATGCTAAGATAAGACAGAGACAGACAGACTGCATGATCTCACTTCTGTGTAGAATCTAAAAAAAAAAAAAACAAAACAAAAACAAAACAACCACCACCCCCCAAAACAAAACAAAAGAACTGAGCTCGTGGATACAGAGAACAGACTGTGATGGTTGTCAGAGGTGGCGGGTGGGCAAAATAGGTGTGAAGGGGGTCAAAAGGTACAAACTTCCAGTTGGGAAACAAGTAAGTCCTGGGCTGTAGGGTACAGCACGGTGACTATAATTAATATGTCTGTATTATACTGAAAATTGCTAAGAGGGGAGTGGGGTGGCTTAGCTGGTTAAATGTCTGACTCTTGATTTCGGCTCAGGTCATGGTCTCACGGTTCATGGAATCGAGTCCCACGTCGGGCTCTGCACTGAGGGTACAGAGTCGGCTTGGGATTCTCTCCCTCACGCTCTCTCCACCCCTCCCCAACTCGTTCTCTCAAAATAAATTTAACAAAAAAGTTGTTAAGACAGTAAATCTTAAAAGTTCTTATCACAAGAAAAAGATTGTTTTGTACCCGTGTGGTGACGGATGTTAATCAGATTCACTGTGGTGATCACTTTGCAATACATACAAAAATTGAGTCACTATGTCGTACACCTGAAACTAACACAGTATCTCAGTGGAAAGTAAGTAAACCAATAAGTGAATAAGTCAGTCAGCACATAGATAAAAGGAAGAGAAAAGGAAGAAACACAGACATACATACATAGGAGAGGACAGTGAGACCAAAGGACTTGTGCGAAAATGGAGAAGGGGCATTCTCAGATTTCCCTGGCTGACATTTCCTCATGGACCTCCCTGCCCGGCATCACTGAGTAGAGCAGGTGCCCAGAAGCACCCATGTCTGCCTGGTGCTTACCGGGAGATGTGGCTCGGTGACGTCCCCTCTCCTCTGTCCTCAGCTCCTCTTCTTGTTCCAAGTGGGAGATAAGGCTGGGTTTGCCCACCTGATACCCTACTCACGGGGAAAGACACATGTTGGGGGAGGATCGTGCAGAGGACAACCCCTTCCGTTAGGCTGGGGTCAATGTTTTGATCTTCAGTGCTCTGAAGGTGGACAAGTCTGACTTAGGAGCAGCGAAATGGTGGTGCCCAATTTCTAAGAAACACAGTGAAAGGCTTTCATAAAACACAAAGCCACAAACACCGACACGCTTTGCCCTTCAAAAGAACGAAGACTGCTCAACTCAGAAACCTATGCCCAGGCTCAGACACACTCGATGACCTCCAAGGTCAATGCAATGGGCAGGTCTCGGCAACCGTTGGGGGTCACCATGGGGGGCGGGGGAGTATGAGGACGGCTTTTTCACGTTGTGTTCCAAATCCCCACAGTCCCTGGGTCACAGCAAGTACTTAAAACAAAAACATCTGTCACACGAACAGAGAAATGAGTCCAGCCTTACCCACTGAAGCAAGGTTGCTATAGTTCTCCAACATCACATCTTTATACAGTTTTCTCTGTGAAGAATCCAGCAAGGGCCATTCCTTTTCAGTAAAGTCCACAGCAACGTCCTGGAAAGTCACTGACTCCTGAATCACCACACATATTTGGGGTCAGTAAGAAACCATCCCGTCTGTGTCCACAGAGATGGACTGAGGCTGGGCATGAGAGACTCTGAACACAGGACTTCCAGATGGGGCTCTGGGGACTCTTCACTAGGAGGTGATCTCGTCACATCACATGCAACACTGCTGACCTGGGACCAAATCTCTCCACTTCTAGCCTGGCCTGAGCATTCTGAGTTGTATTATGAGAGAAACACCTGCTACGTTAGTCATTTCCCCTTACGTCCCCGATACCAGGACGGCCTTGCACCTGTCTCTGGCTTTTTCTCCTGTGCCCTGATCAGGCAGTGATCAGCCTGGGTGAGGCTCTAAAAGAACTCTAACAGGTGGCACTGGGGGCATCCTAGGGAAGTGCCTCTCCCACCCCACCAGAGGCCCAGAGATCTTCTACCTGAGAACCCACACTGGTTGGCACAGGAGGCTCCAGGCCACTGCAAGCAAACAGGTCCACATCCTGGGGATAGGAATGGTCTCTGGAGGGATGAATCTCTGACTCCTTGATATAGGCAGGGTCCTGGATGGACGCAGCTAGAGAGGAGCGGATCCATGAGGATTAAAGCCTGCCCGACACTCACAGATCAGGAAGCTGCCCATGCAACTGTAAGTGTGCTAGGTGTGCAGTGCCTATCCTCGTCTGTCTCACACACACCATGTCTTGTAACAGGCCAGAGGAGCCCTGCCCCACTCAGGGACAGGGGAAAGGATGGCAGGCTGACATACCCATAAAAAAGCAATACATGCTCTCAACCAATGAATGAAGAAATTAAAGCTCTAGCAGGTAGAGCGTTTACTTGGCTCAGATTTTTCACAATAATACGGGATAAATAACAAATATAACTAAAAAAACAAAACAAAACATGGGTGTCTGGTAGGCTCAGTCAGTGGAGCACACAACTCTTGATATCAGGGCTATGAGTCTGAGCTTCATGCTGGGAGTAGAGATTACTTACAGATAAAATATTTAATAATAACGATAACAGTAATAATAAATAGGTAACAGGGTTACCCACGACCTGTCTTTCCTTACACACCAACCACACACAATCCCTACTTCACCCAAACTCACAAGTCAGACACAGTCACATGGGGGGCTCCCAGGACTCTGCCCCCACTGCTTGTCAGTTCCTCCACCCTTCCTGGCAGACCTCCCCCTAGCCATGCACACCCCTGATCTCCGGGAAGTCCAGGGGCCACTTACGCATGACTTCTGAGGGCACTCATTATCACCCCAGGAACTTACCACACGTGGGAGACAGACCAGGAGCTGCCATCCTGTGAGAACGACAGTCAATCTGCCAGAATAGGGCACTGGCAGCAGGAGGCTTCCCTCTCGCTGTCACGGGACTCTTCGAGCAGGCATCTGTAGTAAATAAGAAAAAGACCAGTAGGACAAAGACTTCCTACCTCTCCGCTCACAGGACAATTCTGACTTTGCTTTTCCACCATCTCTTCTTTGGAGCAGCAAGTTCTGTCTGATCTTGGGCCTTTATCTTACTCAGGTGAGTCCTCTGGGCCAATGTGGAGAAGGTCCCTGATGTGCCTAATAAGATTCAGATCCACTCTCCCGTGTGATCTGTTGCCAAGCACAACTCCACCAGACTCCTTTACTTGTTAAACACTTGGGCTCCAGACTTGTCTTCCTTTCAACTTCAAGGCTTACCATGGTTTAGGATGGTTCTAGTAGCCGCGGGGTCCGTCCACCTACAGCCACGCGTTCCAACCTCCAGTGCCTTTTGGCCACTCAGTCCACACCCACACACACACCCTGGCCACAGCCCAGGCCGTGTCATCACTGGAATCACCTTCACCTCGCAGGCAAGGATTCCAAAATCTCTCTGCACAAAAACCTCTTCTCCGACACTCTTCTCACACGACCTCTCTCACTTGAGAGAGGATTCCAGGCCACCCATGCTGCTTCCATCTTGCTCTCTAACAGCAAATTCCTCCTCTCACCACCCCGCCTACCCAGTGGGAAGTCATCATCAATATCCGTCACTTCTATGACTCTCTGCCCATATAATTCCTACCAGCCAAAGGACCAACCTTGGATGATTCATTCCAACCATTCACCTCCTCTCTGAAGGTAATTGGCAAGACCAGTCTGCACACAACTGGTGACCTCCCAAACTCAGCTGCAAAAGGAGTATTTATATTCAAGAAAAGCCTACCAGGCAACCTGACCTTCCAGTTGCCTAAAAACCATGTACAAATCTTGCCAGTTTTTCCCAAATCAAAAACTGTCTCATCATTACGCTTTCAACAAGTAATCTTATTTTCATTTCACAGTAATCCCAAATAAAAAAAAAAAAAATGAGTTTACAGACCAAATCTAAAATGTGAACCAAAATGCAAAAGATCTAGAGGAGCAGGAACAGTGTTAAGAAAGAAACACAAACGTAGAGGATTTGTACTAACTTTATCACAGTAATGGATGGAATAAGTAACAGACAAACAGGTCATTAGAACAGAACAGAGTTAGAAACAAACCTACATGTGTACAAACGATTTTCATTAAAAGAACAAATAAATTCAGTAGGGAAAGCAGTCTTTTTAACAAATGGTACTGAGTGATTAAGCATCCCACTTCGGCTCAGGTCATGATCTCATGATTCATGAGTTTGAGCCCTGCATCAGGCTCTGTCCTGACAGCTCAGAGACTGGATAGAGCCTGCTTCAGATCCTCTGTCCCCTCTCATTCTACCCCTCCTCAGCTCACATGTGTGCTCTCTCTCAAAAACAAACAAACATTAGGGGCGCCTGGGTGGCTCAGTCAGCTAAGCGTCCGACTTCGGCTCAGGTCATGATCTCCCAGTTCGTGAGTTCAAGCCCCGCGTCGGGCTCTGGGCTGACAGCTCAGAGCCTGGAGTCTGCTTTAAATTCTATGTCTCCCTCTCTCTCTGCTCCTCCCCTGCTCACGCTCGGTCTCTCTATCCTTCAAAAATAAATAAAAACATTAAAAAAATAAATAAATAAAATAAAATAAACAAACATTAAACAAACAAACAAATGGTACCAAGGGCACCTGGCTGGTTCCAGTTGGGAGACCATGTAGCTCTTGATCTCAGGGTCCTGAGTTTGAGCTCCACAATGGGTGTAGACATTACTTAAAAAAAAAAAAAAATGCCACTGAAAGAACTCAATGGGTAACAGGAACTTTACATTATCTTTTATCACTGCATAAGCAACAACTTGAATTAAAAACCTTTCTGAGATGAAACAGAAACCACAACATAAAAACCATAGAAAATATTTTAACAACCTAAGTTACACAACAGTATTTTAGTCTAGACACAGAATATTAATAAATCATTAAGTTGGCCTTTACCAAAAATACAAATTTTCAAACAAAATCATGAAGAAAATTAATAGTCTAGCATAAAACACACAAAGATCAATGAAACAGAAATGAGATCCCAGAAATAAAGGCATACATACACAGTCAATTAACTTTATGACAAGGAACCAAGGATATACAAGGAAAGGACAGTCTCTTTAATAAATAATGTTGGGACAACTGGATGGCCACATGCAAAAGAATGAAACTGGACCACTATGTTACATCATACACAAAAATGAACTCAAAATGATTAAAGACATGAATGTAAGACCCAAAACCACAAAGCTAAAACAAAACATAGGCAGTAAGCTCCCTGACACTGGTCTTGGCAATTCTGATTTGACACGGAAAACAAAGAAAACAAAAGCAAAAATAAGTGGGCCTGCACCAAACTAAAAATCTTCTGTACAATAAAGGAAACCATCAACAAAATGAAAAGGCGTGGTGCGGGTGGCTCAGTCGGTTAAGTGTCTGACTTCAGGTCAAGACCTTATGGTTTGTGAGTTCAAGCCCCATGTCAGGCTCTGTGCTGACAGCTCAGAGCCTGGGGCCTGCTTTGGATTCTGTGTCTCCCCCTCTCTCTGCCCCTCCCCTGCTAGTGCCCTGTCTCTCTCTCTCAAAAATGAATAAACATTAAAAAAAAAAAAAATTTAGGGGCGCCTGGGTGGCGCAGTCGGTTAAGCGTCCGACTTCAGCCAGGTCACGATCTCGCACTTCGTGAGTTCGAGCCCCGCGTTGGGCTCTGGGCTGATGGCTCAGAGCCTGGAGCCTGTTTCAGATTCTGTGTCTCCCTCTCTCTCTGCCCCTCCCCCGTTCATGCTCTGTTTCTCTCTGTCCCCAAAATAAATAAACGTTGAAAAAAAAAATTTAAAAAAAAAAAATTTAAAAGGCAACCTAACAAAAAAATATTTGCAAATCATATATCTGATAGAGAGTTAATATCTGAAACACATAAAAGAATCTTACAAGTGGGGTGCCCAGATGGTTCAGTGGGTTAAACATCCAAATATTGATTTCAGCTCAGGTCATGATCTCATGGTTCATGAGACAGAGCCCCGCATTGGGCTCTGCACTGACAGCGCAGAGCCTGTTTGGGATTCTCTCTCTCTCTCTCTCTCTCTCTCTCTCAAAATAAGTAAATAAACTTTAAAAAAAAATGAACTCTAGCCATCTGCTAGCACGGATTCACCTTGAGGGCATTGCGCAAAGTGAAATAAATCAGACAGAAAGATCTAAATATCTATTTTTACTTCTATGTGGAGTCTCAAAAAACAAATCAAAATAGGTCATGGATACAAAGAACAGACTGCCTGAATCAGAGGGTGGGTGAAATGGGTGAAAAGCATCAAAAGGTACAAAGTTCCAGTTATAAAATGAGTAAATCATGGAGATACAATGCACAGCATGGTGACTAGTTATTAATACTGTAGTATATTTAAAAGTCGCTAGAGAAGGGTACCAACAAGGAATATAGTCAAAGATATTGTAACACACTGTACGGTCACAGGTGGTAGCTACACTTGTGAGCACAGAATAGGTTTTTGTACCCAAACGACTGTAACGTTGTGTTTGTTATACTTCGACGGAAAAAAAAGAAAGTAGCTGAGAGAGTAGATCTGGAAAGTTTTCATCACAAGAAAAAAAAAATGTAACTCTGTATGGCAATGATGTTAACTAGAGACTCATTGTGGTGTTCAATTCACAATACACACAAATATCAAATCATTACACTGTACACCTAAAACTAACGTTTTGTCAATTATACCTCAATTCCAAAAAAACCAGTTGCGCAATTATGTATAAAGCTGCTATAAACTTTAAACAAAATGAACAGTCAAGCCACAGATTGGGAAAAAATATTTGTAGTATGGGGTGTCTGGCTCTTGATTCCAGTTCAGATCATGATCTTGTGGATCATGGGATCAAGCCCCTGCATTGGGCTCCGTGCTGACAGTGCACAGAGCCTGCTTGGGATTCTCAGTCTCCCTCTCTCTCTGCCCCTCACCGCTGCTCGTGTGTGTGCATGCATGCACTCTCTCCCTCTCTCTCTCTCTCTCTCTCTCTCTCACAAGATACACTTAAAAAATATATTTGTTGGCTCGGAGCCTGGAGCCTGTTTCCGATTCTGTGTCTCCCTCTCTCTCTGCCCCTCCCCTGTTCATGCTCTGTCTCTCTCTGTCCCAAAAATAAATAAACGTTGAAAAAAAAAAATTTTTTTTAAATATATTTGTAGTACATACACTTAACAAAGAGCTTGTATATTCAGATTACATAAAGAACTCCTATAAAACAAAATTAAAAAACCAATTCAACAAAAAAAAGCTACAGCACAAAACGTAATGACAAATGTAATAAACTTGTCAAAAGGTATTCAACGTCATTGGTTACCAGATGAATGCAAACAAAAGATCCAGCATTTTAACCCTCTAGAGTGGCCAAAATAAAAAAGACTGCCAACATCAAACGTTGGCCAGGATGCGTGGCTGAGGTTGAACTGGTTCAACTACTTTGGACAACATTTTGCCAGTTTCTTTACCATTTGACTCAGCCATTCCACTCATAGATATTTACCCAAGAGAAAAATTTTAAAACACGTTACAAAGACTCATACAAAATGTTCACAGCAATCTGATTTCATAATAGCCCCAAACTGTAAACAATCTAAATATCCATCAACAACAGAACGGATAAACACACTGTGGTATGTGCAATGGAGTATTACTGAACAAACACTAACTGGTGACACACACAACACGGTGGAAACTCCACGACGTTGACCAATACAAACTATACACAAAAAATGCTCTACGATTCCAGTCATGGGACATCCACGAGTAGGTGGACTTATTTAGGTTGTTAGCAAAACTTGTTTATTTCAGTCGATAGAAGTAAAAAAAAACGGCTGCCTCGGTGGAAGAGCAGGAGATGGAGAAA